TTAATTACAAGAATACATGTTAAGTGTTGTCAGTTAAATTCAATTTTAGTAGCATTTTCTTCCCTCCTCTTCCTAAAATCCCATGTAACATTTATACATTCATTTTTGATGGATCAAATATTTATCAAACTCCGAGCACTATGCTGGGCACTTAAGTAGCATTATGTTATGGTGATAGAGAAGTCATTAATTTTTTACAATTAGTTTTTTAGTGTCCAGAGCTTTAAGTGGTTTCTGATATGCTAGTATTGATTAATGAAACCATAAGAACTGCTGCACAAACAACTGGAAAACAGTGTTTCTTACTGCTTCCGGTCTCCAGCTGCTCTGCTCACTCCTTGCTCCCCAACACACACGAATGAACACACATGCACACGCCTTGTTTATGCTTTTCACTTCATGTTGGATCAATGCAATATATAGCTGCTTTTTAGTGACCAAAGCTAGAGGAAAAAAAGGAGATTTTCCTGACTGAAAGACGTTGAATTCTCTTACTCAAACAGATCACCTATTTACAAATTTAAAAAATTGAAGATGGAATCTAATGAGGTAAGAAAGTGTATTTATTGAAATTTTGGTAATGGTTTGATTTGTGTAACTATATAAACAAAACTCACTGAAAGATTTGCTTTAATAAGAATGTCAATAAAGTAAATTGAGACTTTATGTCAGGTTCTTTACAGAATATACAGTCTTCTGCATAAATCATTACTCACCTCTATCTCAAAATATTGAGCATAAAATAACTGTTTTATAACATCAAAGAATATATCATAATACAAAAGAAGTATCCCACTTGAATTATCCATTCCCCATTCTGTGTAGATCAAATACTTTACATTTTAATCACCATACCTCAATTCTCCTTTCAAACAAACTCAAAGATCTTCTCATCCAATCTCATGATCTCATCTCAATAATTATAGTCCAAAAGTTAATATGGTTTACCTTGCAGTATTTTAACAATCTCATTCTTTGGGATTCCACAATATAAAATTACTTTTCTTTTCTTTGTAGATTCCAGATTAACAACCCCTCCAAAAAAACCCCACAAGTAAGCACCATCCTTATTTTTCTTAATTATAAGTGATCTCTGAGGTTTGTTCTGCTACATTTTGACCTTGAAAATCTATTTTCTTTTGTGATTTTCCCTTCTATTCACACATTAATGTATTACATTAGTTCTCTATTCTCTATGGAAAATGTGTTCAAAGACTCCCAGTGCATGCCTGAAAACAGGTATAATATTGAACCCCATGTATCCTATATTGTTTTCTATGCATACACATGTATGATACAGTTCAAGTTATAAACTAATCACAAGAATAAATAAGCAATAAATAATGTTAGAAGAGAACAACTATAGTGTACCTCGTAATTTACATGCAACAATAAAACAAAAAGTGTGTTTCACATAAATTAAGATGTGAGCCTTTATACTAGTGTATTTCAGTCAGATTGAAAGAGGCACGCTGAAAGAACCCAGCAGAAAAATTCTAATTGTAGAACAGCAACAAATAAAGTATTCCTGATGGCCAGTTTAACATAAAGTTGGCAAAAGAGCCTCTTTGGAACTTAATGTAGTCATGTGTGGAAATAGATATTACCTACCTATGAAGAACAGAGCTACTATGAGAATTAAACTAGTTGACATTGGGGAGAATGTAGGATGATCATTGAACTCCAACTCTTCACCTTTTTAGAAGGGTTTTTGTGCAACAGTCCACTGTGGTTTGCAGTTCCAATTATAAGTTAATCCTTACATCTGAGAAAGGCAGCTATAGCTTTGATTACGTTTTTAATTTCTATTTTACAGATAAGGAAAACTGGGAAAATGTAACTGACTGGGCTGAGATTATTCAGACATAACCAGAAATGGAACTAGACAGATTTTTTTTAACTTATTTTTTCTGCCTGCTAGATGTAGCTTTTGTCATAACTGACTCCAATGAAGTAATACAAGTGCTATTCTTAGTAAATATAGATTTTTTCTGGATCAATTAATATGAAATTATCTAACAAATTTTAAAGAGTAAGTGAGTCATTATTAATCTAAATAGTGACCAAGCAAATGTCTTCCTCTACTAACAGGTAGAATGAATTTGCTCATTGCACAGGGAGGAAAAAAATATGTATGTAAGTATGTGGAGAAAGAAAAGGAAAAGTGAAGGAGTCACTTCACTAAATAAAATTGGTTCATTACATAGTCACATAATTTCTGCCCAATATATTCCATAAAATTTGGACAAACACATAAAAAATCAGCATCAAAATGTGTTCAGCTAGTTTTGAATTTTTCTTGTTTTTATCTTCTTTAGATATTTCATAATTTTCACTGTCAAGAAGTTGTTAACTCTGCAGATCTGTTTTGCTCAGAGCTGCTTCTATATATTACTAGTGATGTGTGATACCAGTGTAACATCTATAGCAGTCTGCAGATTTGCTTTGGCTTTTACCTTCTGTAAGACAGTCCCTGGAATGAGTTAAGGAATATGGTATTTAGGACCCACATAGTTTCTAAGATAACTGTGGGAAAATACTAGATAACAGGGGAAAATATCACAAATACTTAAATGGTATATGGGGTAGGGCATGAAAAAATAGTTATAAAAATGATATAGATATTTGTGTATGGAGACCTCTGCAAATTTATAAAAACTTACAGTATTCTAAAGTCAAGGCTAGCTTTTGATTGAAGATTATTCTAAATTTATCTTTTATTATGGATATTTCTAAATTGTGTGCATTTTAACTCTGCAATATTAAGATTTAAATATTAAGAGTTATACATTTTACAAATATCAACTACTTCCCCTTGTGAACAAAGCACTCTTTTTTTCCTTCTCTCCCAGTTTTAAACTTTGTTCCTCCATTGATTTCCTCATATATTCAATGAGGCTGTTGAATTTATTTTAAGCTACACAATAATATCAGAAAAACTGCATATATAATTTTTACTAAACATAAGACGACAACAAGATCTTCTCCAGATTAAAAATTCAAAATCCACATCTGTTTCTAGTTTTTTAAAAAATGAACTTATTATGTGTATGACCACAGCCACTTCTTTAAAAAAAGATTGTCTGATTCCTAACCTAGGTTAGTGGAAAGACCCAAGTAAACTGAAAAGAACAGTGAAGAAATGCACACATATTCTTATATTCCTCAGCTTCCCTGTCACTGGCACACGATATCTGACATCCACAATTTAAAGGAGGAGAGTTGTGATTTGGCACAAGGTTTCAGGAGATTCAGTCCATGGTAGGCTGGATTCAAGGTAGAAACATAATTCTATAGGGGCTTATGGAGCAAAGATCCTTAGATCAGAACAATGTGAACAATGCCAGAGAAGGGGCTAGGGACAAGATACAGTACTCAGGATATATTACCCACCTCTATTACCCAGACATATCTGGAAGTGTGCTTTACTAATTCCCTGGAAGCTTCTCAAGTCAATCAAGTTAACACAATTAAACTTAACCACCACAGTTCTATAGCCCAAAAGATGCCAATACAGAAGTCCACTCCGCAATAAAATTTTCTCACAGAGCTCATAAAATTTAGGCAGGGCTTTGTTTTAGGAGTCACAAAATGTGAGTTTTGTTTTTTTGGTTTTTTTTTTTAAAGAGAAGTGAAGTAAAAGGTGATTATTGCAAAAAATACTTAAAATATAATTAGCAATACTTGCAGCCACAGAGCTAAAACATACTAATCCCAACTATTTGCTGGACAAAGCTGTAGCTGATTTAGATACTTGGTTTCTGACCCTCATAACAACCCTGTAAGTGTGTATGACTATTCCCATCAGAGAAAACCTTACTTGGGGGAAGACTCCCGGCCCAGGAAAACCTTCATGTAGACTTACCTCCTTGCCCCAACAGAGTATTTACTTACTACTAGAACTTTGGACAATTCAGATATACTTCCATTGGAGAGAATGAAAATTCTCCACAAGGAAAGATCAATAGTTCTGGGGAGACAATGGCCTGGGAATTTCCCATTTTCGTTTTCTTTTCTTGCTAAACATCACTCCTCTGGTAGTGTATGGGTCAAACACACATGAGTACTTAAAAAAACAGTTAAAATTGTACTGTTCAAACTCAATTCTCCAGCGCAAGGGTGGAGGAAGATGTAAGAATTAAATTGCTTGGGCCTGGGATTTAGCCCAGTGGTTGTGCCCCCTGCCTTAAAGGCACAAGGGTCGGCGGAGTTTGAGCCCTGATACAGAGAAAGAGGAAGAGACGGGGGGGGGGGCATATTAAATAGCTTGTTCAAACTACTTTTCTCCATTTTTTGTTTGGTTTGAGGTGGTGAACATGGGGGAAGCATGTCTGCAGGGAAGACAGAAGAGGTCACCAGACCTGCAGTTGTGAGAACATCTCTCCATGTGCCTTCTTCAGAGCTCGGGCACACTTATGGGCTGATTGCTAGGAGTGTTCAGAGCCTGAGAAGTACCACTCTTTTCAGCTGCCAAAGGGAAGAGGACGGGGGCGCTGTCTGGTGACCATCTGCAAGATTCCTTCGAGGCGGCGACCACCTCCCGGCATTTGATCTCCAGCAGCGCCTTTTGTACTCCAGTCCCGAGACCGCCAAACCGAGACGCCAAGACTCTGAGCCTCAGGGCCGCGGCTCTGGAGACAGAGTCAGCCCGGTGCGCCCTTTCCTGCCCAGACGCGCTCTGCTGGCCGTCAGCGAGCGCCCCAGGCCCAGCTCTGCAGGCCGGGCTTTCTCTCCACACCGAAGGCACCCTGGCCACCGGTCCCCCGCGGCGCGACCCTCCCGCGCCTCCCCCAACCCAAACCCCAGTAGCATCTCCCCCTCTCCCGGAAACAAGCCTGCTGAGCAAAGGCGGAGGAAAACCTTGGGCCTTCCGCTCTGATTGGTCTCCCCCCGCCGCGCGGGGCGAGGCGGCGATTGGCTGCCGGGCGTTGTCAGTCGCGGAGGCCGGAGCCATCGCCGGGGAGGCGCAGCCGGGCTCGGAGCTCGGGCTGCAGCCTCGGCTGGTGCCGCTGAGCGGGCTCGCGCCGCTGTCCACCCGCCGCGCCGCTGCCCCGCAGGAGGCCGCCGGGGAGGGGCGGGCGAGAGCGCGGGGCACCGGGAGGCGGGGGCGGCGGAGAAGTGATGCTGGCGCCGGGGAGCTGGGCAGCGGCAGGCGAGCAGCAGCATCTTCGGGACCCCGGCTGCAGCGTCCCCGTGGCCCTCGGGCCAGCGGAGCAGCTGGAGACCACGCGCCTAGCGGGTAAGGTGCGGCCCCCAGGACCGCTTCTGTGGTCTCGGGGAACTCGGGGAACCAGCAGGCACATCGTGGCTCCGGAATCCGGACCAAGGTGTTTGGGACCCGCACCACGAGTCCCGACGCCAGCTAGGCTGATGCCCGTGCCCGTGCGGTTCAAGCTCGTGCGTTCTCCCTTTCGCGTTGACAGACTTTGACAGCGCGTGGATGGCATTGTGCGTACGAGTGTGTATGTGTGCTTGTGTGTGCGCGCGCACGCGGTCTGGGCACTTTGCAGGGAGACCAGTAGGTCCCCTCTGCGTGGACCGATGTCCTTCAAGGATCCAGGTTGGGATGGAGTGAACAGGATGCTCTTAGCTCCGCAGGAGTGGGAGGAGGCGCAGAGCGCACGGAAAGTCTACTGCGGCTCGTAACGAGCCGGACAAATTGAACTTTACTGCCTTAATGAAAAGGAGCTGTGCATCCCGCGCGCCGGGCCGAGGCGCGTCTGCAGAGACTCCCCAAAGTCCCACTCTGCGCGGAGGACTTGAAAGGGGAGAAGCGAAAGGAAAGTAACTGTTGGCCCGCCTTGCTGAAGAAAGGGGGGGAACAGATGTTGAGGCGTAGGGGGGGGACAGAGGCTGGGTTCGCAGAGTAGGGACTTTTAGGTGTCCGGAGCTCCTCAGAGGATGCTTACTACACTTTTCAGGAGCGAAGATTTGGGGTGGAGAGAATCCCGCTCTCGGGGGACGGGCAGAGGCGCCTGCTCTGTGGCGTCTTAGGGCGCAGGTGTCCGCGACTGGAGAGCTCGGCCAAGGCAGCTCGGACTCAGGTGCGCGGTAGCCAGGCGTCCAGGTGGGGCCGCCGCGCGCTCTCTCCGGGGCTGACACCCGCCGCGGCGCGCGGGGAGGCGTCAAACCCCTTCCGAGAGAAAGTTCCGGCCGCAGGGATCTGAGCAACCAGCCCAGGGCACTTTAACCACCAAAAGAAAACCAAGTGCTTCCTGCAGAGCTTGTGCTGGTTTTATTTCCTATGGGAATGTTTTATTTGATAAGGCTTTTGGGAGTTCCATCTGCGCTGCAACCCCTTCGTTAGAAGGCGAATTTTATGCGCTTCTGCAAACGGACGGTGTCGCCCGGCTAAGTCCCGATCTTCCTAGCCCAGTGCAGTGTTTTCCCCGTCCCTATTCAGGACAGACAAACTTATTCTTGGAGATTGTTTTCTATGTAGCCTGTTGTCTCCATAGGAAAAGTTCTTGAAATATCTCGGTAGTATGAAGCTGCCTCAAACCGGCTCAGATGGGGAGAAGCTCTAGGTCCTTGAAACGGGCGATAGAGTTGCAGGGAGGAATAGAGGTGAGGAGGGCAGCTCCCTGCCTGCCTGCTTTAGTGGAAAGAAAACTGGCCAGATCTGAAAGCTGGGGGCAGTGCTTTTCCTGGTACATAGCTCCATAATCTCTTTGACTGGAGGAATCTTTTGTCCAAAATCAAAATAAATCACAACAAAACAAAAATACTCAAACCTAAATAGCAGAAGTCACTTTGGCTGAGCATATTTCTGATTGGATAAAACAGAGAAAATGAAAGTAAATCATCTAATAGAAGTATCGTGGAAAATTTGGAGGGAGCTGTTCAATATGTCAGGCATTTTCAATCATCTTTGTGTGTGTGCGCGAAGATTTTATTTTCTCCCAATTTAGTAACTAAGTTATGTTACAGCACACAAATAACTTAAAATAAAATAGCAGTGATGTTAGTTTTATTTTTCATCACTTGAGCTGTAAATAGAATTTTTGGTGTGATTCGAGTCCACCATTTATACATTGTATTTGTGTTAGGAGAAAATTGGTGCCAAATATTTCTTTTTAGCGTTCATCACATCTAGCTTAAAAGTCTGGTTTTTTGATATAAAGTATAGGTTGTTAGGTTTCCATGCAGCATTAATCTGTCTCCTGGTGATTATTTCCTACTGTAAAATTTTAATTATTGTAATGTTCAGAATGTTGTTAAGGTTATTAGGCACATTAAGCAGTTGATTTTAGATTTGTGTTTCATTTATGTAATTCTGTGGGCTGGCAAATATGTTTACTTCCCCCTATAGGTTGATATGGAGGGAATAAGATTAAGACGTGTTATACATTATTAATCAATATTTTTAAATAATTTTAAATCAAAGCTATTATCAATAACAGCTGATACTAAAAACAGAACTTGGAAAATTTTAACAACTTGGCTGAGAAAGTGTTCTTTACATTGATATCAAGTAACATCTTATAAATCCACTACATAATGTAGTAGGAGGAGGAAGCCATAAGTCTTAAAATGGAGTAAAGGGGAAATTCTTAATTTTAGAAATCATTCTTTCAGATAATTAAATATATTTTGCAAAGCACTAAGACAAATATACTGAATTATAAAGACATGTGCCAATGGGCGTAAATGTTGGGCTAAATAAACAGTAGGGAGTGTGTTTAAGTGTAAGCCAAAGATGCAGGGTGTGTGGGGGGAGGCACAAGTTTATAGGGGGTAATGGGTAGTACCAGCCACTCAGTTTACACAAACCATTCAAGCTCTGCCAGTTCTGCAAATGCACTTCAATTTTGACTTGTTGTGCTGGAGGGCAGCCCATGAGCTTAGTATATTCTAGATGGATTTTAGTGACTCAAGTAAATGTCGTCTTGTCAAGACTCTAGACCACTAAATTTACTTTTTGACCTATAGCAAATTTTAATTTCAATACTTACTGGTGAACTTTTCTAAAAAGGTTGTACTTCATATGAAGAGCAATGCGATATATACCACTATCCTATGAAATGAAAGTTGTCAAATAATCACAATTAGAGTTTGTACATGGATAGATAAGATAATGAGGTCTATTTATTTTATAGTAATTTATTGCTAGTCATGGTGAAATCACTCCTTTTGTAAAACTAACAATTTTATGGGAATTACAGATCTCAACCATTAATAAATCAGTGATCCGTTCTCATTCTCTCTCTCTCTCTCTCTCTCTCTCTCTCTCACACACACACACACACACACACACACACACACACATGTAATCAGAAAGAATGTAACCAGAATGTAACCACTGTGCACTTGAAAAAGTCACAAACCCATTGTGAATGGTGAATGTGCTTCACAGGAGAATATTAAGTGATGTTATGAACTAATTATAATGCTGGTTTAAAAATAAAATACAACAAATTATATTTGTTCCTAGTATGTGGAGAGCACTTTTCTACTTGCTTAGACTGTATTGCAGATAAAGACCCCTGCCTTCATGAAGTTCATGTTCTACTGGCAGTGAAATAGATCTTAACAAAAAACGTAATAATAACTAATATAGAATATTTATCTCCTATTATTTTCTACACTCTTTCCATTTCATTTTTTTCTAATATTCAACCATCCATATAAGTGCACAGTAAATGTAAAAACTGCAAGGTAATCGCAGTGATAACCCAATGAGCATTGCTCCTGAAGCTTTGTATGAGAACCACAAGAACACAGCCTGAGATATGAGGATAAAAGAGAAAAAAAGGATTCCTAGATGATTAATCAATGAAATGGTAAGACATTTGCCCTTTAAAATAATGTTAAAATCAAGTCAAAATATTTTTCAGAAGAACTAAAATGGGACAAAAATGGGACATATTTATTTAATTTTTAAAAAAATTTTTTTTGCCAGTACTGGGAATAAAACTCAGGACCTCGTGCTTGGGAGGCAGGTGTGGTGCCACTGAACTAAATCCCTGGCCCATATTTGTTTTACATTAACAACATTTAAAAAGCAATTTATGTCTGTCCAAATTTAAATCTACATAACCTTATCCAAAGGAGATGAGTGAGTAGGTATTGGTAAAGATGGATGCAAAAGCATAATTCTAATGAGACATATTTTGCTTCTTCCGCACTGAAAGTTTCACATTTATGTATTTCTGTTAAAGCTGATGAAAGCCCCTAGGGACTGAGGTTAGATATTTCTCAAAAGTTTATGAATCAGTAAAAGGCCTATGATCTGATTTTCTAATAAGAAATATCAAAACAATTGAAAACTTCCATGTAACTTTGTCTTTAATTAAAATTAACTTGAGGGACAAGAGTGTAGATTAGTGACACAGTGCTTGTCCAACATACCCAAGGTCCCAGGTTTGATCCCCAGAACTGCAAAGTATAATTTGAAAATTATTTTGATTATCCAAGGTCTTAGTTACTTTCTTGTCACTGGGACACAATACTGGACACCCACAACATTTGGCTCATGGCTTTTAGAAGATTTAGTCCATAGTCAGCAGGCTCCAAGGCAGGAATAGCATAGTAGAACAGTCTGCTAGAGGAAATTTGCTCAAGTCATAGCAGCCAAAACACAAAGAGAAGGGAGTAACCTGGGACAGAGATATTCTCTTCCAGGTCATGCCCCCAGTGACACCTGCACACATCCAACCAGGCCCAACCTCCTACCAGCAAATTAGCTATGGACTTACCAGAGGCTTAACCCACAAATGAGTATATCGCTCATGGCTCCATGATCTAATCACCTTTAAGCACTTGAGACTTTTGGAGGATACATCAGATCTTAAACCTGAACATCCAGTCAGTTTAATTACAAATGAAACTTAACAAAATTAGGGTCTAGTCTTTTATGTGTAAAAATATGCAGTTATGATTCCAATTTCATTTTTTGTGCTTTCATTTCATTATTTTCTTTAAAGCTTTTAGCTTACACATCAAAAGAATTATTATTTGCCCATCTATGAAGAGTGGATCCTAGCTTGATTTTCAAAAGCTAGTTTTGAATGATATTTTCATATTAGAGGAAAGCTGAAATTGTATTCCCAAGAAGCTATACTACATAATAAATTAGTGCCAACATATTCTCAGATTGTAATGTGACAGGGTATTATTACAACACACAACATGCTAACAGTCATTTGTGAATGGATTTTTATCATCTAAGAAAGGTTTGCAATACTGTTATGAACCAATTGAGGTTTGGGACATGGGAAAGCTTTCTGATATTGCATC